AAATGTTTTGACATCTAAAACCCCCTAAACACTCAAAACTAAACCCTAATAAAACATAATTAACCCAAACATAAATAATATAAAGAAAAAATAATTTTGAAAAAGTGGCATTTTTGTAAAGATTTCAAAAATGTTGTATTTTTGTAAAGTGGCACTTGAAAAGTGGCATTATTTGAATTTTCTCAATAAAATATGATAAACTAGTGAAAATCCACGCGTTGCGCGAAATAAATAATTTTGAAAATTATTTTAATATCATATATATTAACATTGATATATTGAATGATGTTTAGGATTTATGTTCACAATTTCTATTTATACAAATTAAAACATCATTTTTAAATGTTTAATATGAAAGTGAATATGATGATATATACAAATATTTTTATCTGAATACTATATCTTCAGTTTTGCTCTAAAATTCAGCGTATTCTTCTTGAATCTCTTTGTTATAGTTTGTGTCCACTATTGTAAAAAAAAATGAATGTCGAGTTCACACGTGACCGACAAGCTAAAATTTATATAATAAAATATGCAATAATTTATAGATAAACATATAGGTAAAAAAGTTTAGTGAAATGAGATTGCTTTTGAGTTTGATTGATCATATTTMGTTTACAGAGTTTGATTCTTATATTATTTAAATTTATATAGCTTATACATTTTTTAACAAAATGATAGTTTTTTTTATACAACTTTATTTTTATTCATGTCTTTATGGATATTTTCATCAAAACACCTTATATAAAAATCAAAAATCAAGATCGTGTGTGACATAATTTTTTTTTTAGTTTTTAGTTAGTAATAAAGTAGAGATTCAAAGGTAAAAAATAATTTTAAACTATTTTATGTTAATTATTATAAAATAGATAAAGTTTTCTCCGTCTTATTAAATTATTGATATAATAAACATGATAGAAAATAATATAATGACATTATAGCGTGTAGCCAAAACCAAAAAAAATATTGAAACATCCTATATACTTTTATTGGTTTATTATAGAATAATTTGATTTTAATATATGATATACTTTACTTGATCACAAAATAACAAAAACAGCAAAAAAATATAAAAATATTTTTAAAATAAATATGATAGTTTTTCGAAAGTTCTAATTAGAAAAATTTTAAAGAATTTGAAAAGAGTTATTGAAATAAAAACTATATATTAGAATACGGTTTTACATATTTTTAATAAATTTATGAATATAATTAGATGTTAAATGTTTACTTTAAATTAATATATTTGCTATTCACATTTTTATTTAAAAGAGTCAATACAAAAATTCTAAAATGTAGAGGGATAAATGTCAAATTAGGTACAGTAGAGGTCTTAAATTAAAAAAAAATTGAAAGTTGTTAACACTTTATATTACAGTAGAGGTCCTAAATTCAAATTAAGTATTAGGTGGCGGTGAATTGGAAAGAGAAAACACAACACTAGGACATGTAGAAACATAGGAACTATTAAGAAGTGCTTATAGCCATTTATGCACCACGGCAAATCCAACGGCAGCAACTAGAGCAGTGAGGCAAGGCATGATCACCAACTGGTGATGCAGTAGTGGAGAGAAAACACCAGTCCAAATGCGCATAAGAGAGAGAGGCAATCCATGACTTTGCCGGTGCGGAATCCTCTAGCACGCAGAGACGAGATATAGAATACGGCCCATCCACAGGCGAAAAGAGACATGACTACGTCGAGGGCATTCTCACGAGGTGTTTTTGAAGATTGTTCAGCAAACGGGATCGGTGGAGAGGAGGTGGTTGAGGAGATGGTTGAAGTGAACTTAAAGGCAAAAAACGCAATAAGACTTTTGGCCAAAACCCCAAAGACATAATGCATGGCTAAGACGACCTCGCTCCATCCTCTAGAACGCAGAGACAAGACATAGAATACGGCCCATCCACCGACGAAAAGAGACATGAGTACTTCGAGGGCATTATCACGAGTGGTTTTTGAATATTGATGAACAAACGGGATCGGTGGAGAGGAGGTGGTTGAAGTGAACTTTATTAACATATAAAGATTGTATAGATTAGGAATAAGTTTCCCTTAGCTTATTTCCT